ATATAAAATAAATAGAATAGAAATAAATATATATAAAACAAATAACAAATATAGCAGTGAAAATCTCCTTTGGAAGGAAGGAAGGAAGGAAAGAGGATGGAAGGAGGCAGCTTTTCACCCTGCTTTGGAAGATGTAAACTTAGAGCAGCCATGGGGGAGGCACGGGGGGAAGGAGGAGAAGGGGAAATCAGTCAAACTGCTGCTGGTGCTTTCAGCTGTGATAGCAGCATCACAGTGCCCCAGAGATATTTGACATCTAGCTCTTAACAGACATTTCTTCCCATATATAATATGCTATAAAAATTCCTGGGGCAGCCGGGACTTTGATCAGATGTCACACAATACATTTCTACCCTTTAAACAAAACAGAACCAAGCTGCGAGGGTTTAAAGAACATGGCCTCAAAGCAACATCCCCCCTCCAAAAAAACCCCAATACATCCAAACAAAAGAAAATCCAGGGCATTTCTCCCCTCCATCCGTATTCCCTGCTTTCTGCTTTGCAGTGACCTCCACGAGTGCCTTTGCAAACTGGCAATTTAACAGCCAGGCACCAAAATTCATGGCTGAGCCCGTAACATCTAGTGAGAGTAGCAGAGCATGGGAAATACAAGTAGGTAAACAACACCTCCTCATTACAGTGTTTCTGGATATCTTAAATAACTTGTCTCTTATAAATCTATCTCACTTTACTCCTATAGGAAGTTTATAGGCTCAGCTACCTTACGAGGTTCTCAAGTTCACTGTAGAGAAGAAGTTTTCTGTCTGAAACAAACTCTTAAAAATAATAAAATCCTTTTGCAAGGAAAACTGTCTTCTTGATTGACTGCAATGAAACAGTGCCAGGTATAAGCATTGCATAACTAAGGGGAGCAATCTCAGTGCATCTCCTGTGCAGTGTAAAACACCACAGATCTAAAGCTAAAGGGAGGTTCTCGTGGGCCTGTATAGTTGCTGCAAAAGTGGAGAACAAAAATGTTCAACTCTGTTTTCAATTATTATATGTATATTAGAATATCATTTATAATTTATTATAATTTATAATATAATCTATAATAGATATTATTTAATTATACTCCAGCTATCCTGGAGGAAGGAATGGACTCAAGGTACTATTCAGAGCAAGGTGCCCTTTTTACATCTGGCATTGCCTCTTTCTGCAATTTGCCATTAGAACAAGTGAAACTCTTTAATTCAGCATCCATCTTCCACAGAGACGACTACAAATGAACTGGAAACTTATTTGCCCTCAAAACTGAAACATGCCATGCTTCAAGGAAATGAAGGCTTCAGCCAGACCAAAATACACACAGTGCAGGGACAAACCACGTGAAAACGCAAAGAGAAAGGCTGAAAGTTTGCCATGGAAATGAAGGAGCTGAAGGATAGATCCCGAAATGTAGAACCTGCAAATAGTGTACTTTAGTCTCTATGACAGCAGCAGTTTACAGCAGTTTCAGGTCTCTGCTCGTGTAAATCCACAACTTACATTTTGCTGATAGATTATATCCTCCAAGAGGTGTGGGATGGCCTTCCACCGCATCAAAACCAGAGGACACCAGCACAACATCTGGGGCAAACTCATTGGCAATGGGCATTACTACCGTTCTGCAACACAAAGGTAACAATGGCAAGACACGTTATTTTGGCTCAGGAACACTTCAACCATCCTGAACAAACCCCTTATCAAACCTCATGCTATGATTCCACAGGAGGAAAGCCCATCTCCTCCTACCTTCTGACAAGCAGAGAGCCTGCCTGCCTGGCAGAACACCATGCGGTACAGTTTGAAAGTCCACCTCATATTAGATTTATCAGTGAGGTCTATGATTTGCTCAATAGCCTCACCTTTTGACCAGGGAAATAAGTTGTCATACATTGTGTTTCCCACTTGGGATCATACCTTGCTTTGCACAAAGGGATAAGGAGAAAATAAGAAGGCCTCTGGTACAGGCTGCAAATCTCCCCTAGGAAACCTGTCCGATGGCTCGTGGTCCTTGTCTCCATGTTCTCCTCTGAAACTCCTCCTTTAGCCTTTACAGGAGGAGGAATTTCCTCTAAAGCTCCAGGAAAGCTGTTTATTTTTCCCCTTGTTGCACTTTTCATTGACCATAATGGAAGGCTGGGGATGTCACACAGGGCAAAAAGCTTTCATAGGCAAATACTCTACTCAAATACACGTCTGCAGATTCCGGCTCCTCATCCTCTGACAGTTTTGTTCCCTGGAAAAAAGGCCTGAATTGCTTAGCATCCATAAACCATTGTCTGCTAAGGCTGGCATTGAAATGAAACAAGAGGTCTGTGCCTCTTCTTTCTCACCAAAAGGCCTTTTCCTTGTGGTTTTTCTTTTCAACGTACTCAATTTCTGTTCAAAACCAACACGAGGTTGCAAACGCACCATTTCTCACTGCAGGATGTCACCTAAGTGGAAAGCTGAGCAGAGGAACAAGTAGTTGCTTCTTCATCTATCAGCTCCAGCACAAACATGGCAGAACTGAAACTACAGCAACGTCAAAGCAAGGGAGAAGATGCAGATACCCACAATCTATTCTGACCAACAAAGCCTGTTAGATGAACACCTTCTCGTGTTCACGCTGGGGTGCCTACACACAAGGGCTTCAAAGTTGTTTTGAAGTCTTCCATTAGGCACTGACAACTGTAGGAAATGCTGGAAAAGTGAGGAGGTCACAGATGGTTGTAAATCTCCACCTCAAGGCCCTTTGTACAGAGTGGTATTTTCCAAATGGTGGGGTTTTTCTATGACAAATGAATCCTGAATGTATCCCTAAGGCAACCTGCCCGGTGCCATCCCTTGCTGGTACTGAAGGCAATAGCATTTCCCCACTTCCCCAGCCTAGGAATTGCTGCTGGCAAGATTAACTTTCTAATATATGGAGTTATTAAAATAGCAAAGCACGAACCTGTAAATATCTTTGCACACCTGAAAACTTCACTTTTGAGTATAGTTGTCATGTGGCACTCCAAAAAAGAGTGAGCCCAGAAAGGTCTGTTTAGTGCTGAGACTGCTCAAGTGCTATCAAGACACCCATACAAAACATCACATCCCTTGCTAGAATGATGTTTTAAACAGCCACAAGACATCTGCTGGTGTCAGCAACTTGTATTAGCCCCAACACTGATCTGAGCTGCTGAACAGGGTTTACTTTTAAATGGAGTATTAACATCTACCACTCAATAAGCTGCTTCCAGTGTTGGTCAAACCCATCAAGCAGTTTCCACTGCCACCACTGAGCAGGAAAGCAGGGACAAGGCCATTCAGACACCATGTAACCCAAAAGAAGTAAGCCTTGAGCTTTATGTTTTGCCAACTAATAGCCACAGTAACCCAAGAGCCTCCTGCAGTCTTCCTACCTGCCCACAGACACAGAAACCTAGGCAAAAAGAACCTTATTTTCTTTCAATTCTTACAAAACCTGAAAGAATTTGAATTCTTTTCCTTACAGTCAACAAAAATCTGTTGAGTGAAACCCACAGACATTTTAAGGAGAAACCACCTCCTTCACAAAGGACTAAAGCAGCAGTTTTGAAGCGAGTGCACATGGGAGAGTTCTTTTCCCCCCCCTGAGCTTTGAAGTGCTGCTGAGCTCTTTAATTCTAACCAAAGAAAAACTGCTAAAACAATCAGATTTCCCCCCCATCCCTGAAATTATATTGCCACAGGAGCTGTTAGTACCTCAAGTGATGTGTGGGATCACTGGAAGTTGGTTGCAGAGCAAGCCCAAACCTGCAGCCCTGAGCTGTGGGCATGGGCTGTCAGCAACCCCAAATCAGTAACCATTTTTGGGCTATGGGACAGCTCATAGAATCCCAGCCTGGTTTGGGTTGAAGGGACCTCAAAGCTCCTCCAGCTCCAACCCCTGCCACGGGCAGGGACACCTTCCACTAGAGGAGGTTGCTTCAAGCCCCTGTGTCCAACCTGGCCTTGAACACTGCCAGGGATGGGGCAGTGACAGCTTCTCTGAGCTGCTCTAAGGTGTCCCCTTCAGGAGCCTTCTCTTCTCCAGCTGCCCCAGCCCAGCTCTCTCAGCCTGGCTCCAGAGCAGAGCTGCTCCAGCCCTCGCAGCAGCTCCATCACCTCCTCTGGCCTCGCTCCAGCAGCTCCACGTCCCTCTTGTGCTGTTCCCCAGAGCTGGATGAGGACCGCAGGGGGGTCTCACAAGCTCTTATCAGCTCATTCACTGCTAGCCAAGCACAAATGTGCCCGAAGAGGGAGAGCCTGTGAGCAGCGCAGTGGTAATGGTGATGCTCGGCTGAAGGTCCCTGCATGGTGACAGCGGTTCGAAGATACCCTCTAGCGGCACAGCCAACACACAGCCAGCACTGGGATCTCACCGGGAACCAAGGCTGTACAAACTCCAACCAGCAGCTACTGCTTTTTCCATCCTAAAAGTAAATCAATGGATATTTCACAGCAGTTAAAAGCTGTTTAGAGATGTCCAGAGTTGTCTCCTGTGTAGGACAGGGTGACCTTCCAGCCACATCTGGTTAACGCAGCAAATACCTTCAACTCTGAGCAATTATTAGTGGTGGTCGGTACAGACACAGTACCAGGTCCTCATTTAAGAAACATGGGTCACAGGTCCCTGTGCTCCCCCATTCAGGAGGACAGACAGACAGTCTGTGCCCATGGATGGGTGCTGCATGATGCCCGTCCCAGACAGAGCCTACCAAGGAGCCACAAGTGTTCAGAGGAGAAGAGCAAGATGACAAGGTGTCAGAATAAAGAAGTTAATGATGCTTTTGGTACCTCGACCATCACAAACCCATTCAAACACAAGAGCACTCTCAAAACCAGACTGGAACCCTCTCCTTCACCCAGTGACTCCTACCCAAACTCTCTTGCTTCTGACTTTCTCCTAATTCCAGTATTCCGAAGCTGCAGTCCCAACTCTATTTGATGTGCTCCAGGTATATAAAACCAGCTCTATCTTTGGGCATAAAACCTGACCCAGGAGGGCCCTGGGCAGCATTTCAGGCACATCTAACCCACTCTTTGGGTTTCTCACTTTTCTTGTGCTCAGAAGAAAACAGCTCTTTCACTCAGAGTCCTGAAGAGAAAACAACACTTGAAGAGCAAACAATCCTACGGCTTTGTCTTCTTGATGATACTATAAAAAAGGCCAGAAATTCAAATGACTATCAAGGAGGTGAGTCATTTTGTCTGGGTCTTTTAATGAATGGCTGAGGTGGCTGTGGAGTTATTCACTGAGGAATGAAAGGGTTTGGAACACTCAATATTCATTCAAGCCACGCAGAATTTTTTGAAACACAAAGGTTTACATTTCCTAAATGTTGAAGTGCTGTTTTGCTTCCTTACAATAAACTAAATCCTTTCATTTCATTCTGATCACAGCTAAGCTGAACAGCTCGGCATTAAACCGATGGCTGCAGAGAGCAAAAAACTACCCCTCGTGTTCTGCAATCAGTTGGGAGAGAGAAGAAGAACCCAAACAACAATTTCAGATGTGTTTTCCAGAAGGCTGGGTAATTTTTAGTCTGTTACTAGCCAATTCACCAATTAAATGCCTAATAAATGACAGGCAGATTAAACAGCCCTACAGAGGATTTCTTCTTGCTTTTAAATGCTCAATTGCAGCGAGCAAATTGTTGAAATTTAGAAGGCTGAACACTTCTTTTCCAGACACTTTTCCCCTACTGTTGGCCATACCTATATCTCTATCTGTATCTATGGCTACATCTAACAACACATTATCTGTTGCTCCTACGTCCCTAAGCCTCCGTCTTTGTTTCTCTAAGCAGCCATTGTCACGGCCATTTACTATGTCAAAAGAGATCAGGAGTTTGGGGACAAGACCAGCATCAGGAGAGGGTGAAATCTGAACTACAGAAACAACCATTTCAGGCAAAACATCATCTTTCCCACCTCCCTCTTACTCACTCCTGAAATGGTTTATGGATTGAAGGAAAAAATTAAATGCCCCCTCCAAATTGGCTCCTGGATTCATTTAATGCTTAAAGGCAGGAGGAGGGACCTTTCGAATATACTCCTGGCTTTTACTTCTAGTTGAGGTGTTTGAAACGAAACTACCATGGAATCAAGCTGTATATGGAATTATAATTGTGGAGGAGACCTCAGGGTAGGGGAAAAAAATCTCTATGAGACAACACAACTGTTGGAATCATCAGGAAAACCTGCTTATAGTAAATTCAGAGTAAAACTCCTGCGAATAAAATAACACCATTTAATTTCACCAAGTAATTGCTGGGTTTGTGTAATAAGGAACTAGCTGCAGTCCTCGTGGTTTTACTGCAGGTCTCTTAGCCAGGTTTGCACACTCTGCTTTTGAAACCTTCCTGAGGCTTTCTAGAAGCAAACCTGCTTTCTGCTTGTATAACAAGTTAGGGAACAACAGACCCTGGTAAAAAGAACAAAAAAAGCCCAAACGCACTGGATTTTACAACTGTTTGTTTCTGTAACTACTGCATAACAGCGCTGAACACATCCTGATGAGTTAAGGGCGTTCAAAATCATATGCCCTGCATTTTTCACATTAGAGTTTAACACATTTCTGCCTAATCTGTGAAATCTGTATTGCCCACATACTTTAGTGGTGAGTTCAGCCGTGGGACCTTTGCCCAGCCAACGGTCAGCTAAATCAGAATGTCACGCTGTCTCGGGCAGGCAGAGCCCGAGAGCTACGATGGGTGGAGGAGCGCCAAGCAAACTCCCCAAATCCCTTCTGCACTTCTTATTAGTGACCAGGGTGACTCCACCCTATATCCCCCCCCCCCCCAAAAAACCCCAACCTTGAGACAGGGCAGCCAGTGATTTCAGCCCTCAGTTATGAAGACAATAAGCGACAAAGTGCGCGGTGAGGCTGTTCTCCGCGTCGCGTTAACTCTTGTTCTCACTTTTGAAATGGCTTAGTGGGCTTAATAAATATTAAGAGGTCAGGCTGTCCTGATCAAGAAAATGCTGAACTGTGAGCAGGGGGAAGCGAAGCATCTGTAGAGTATTTCTCAATAGCAAAACCCCTTGATGCAAGTTACCCTGAGTTCTTCAGGCACAGTAAAACGACACTGTAAAAGTTTTCCAGTGGGGGGATGATAGGATTCATTGGGGTTATTTATTCACACATCAGAAGACTTATTGATGAGGGTAGTTATTAGTTCATGAGAGCACACACTTTTATCAAACCCATACACCAGCTCGTCTTGAAATACAACAAAAGAACGAAAAGCATGTTGCTTATTTTTCTTCTGCTTTGTTTTTACACAGAAGGAGGGATCTCTTCCCTAAAAGCAGACAAGCATGTCAAGAGTTAAGGCTGAAAAAAAAGTCTATCAGTATCTTTGCCTAGCTCAAAGGATTTCCACTGATTCCTCTACAGACTTCAAAGCCTCACAGTTTGGCATTTGGACTGGTTTGAATTAAAGCTCGGTTCTCCGCTGTGAGTTTCCAAGTTCATGGTGAAAATGCCTGCAGCTTCTGGAGTTCATTATGGCCAATTTTCTTATCTTTTCTTCATCTTTGGTTTGATCCCCAGCAAATGCAACGTGGCATTCGATGGGGTGGAATAACAAGGTGCTGCCTTGAAGGCATGCATTGTCTCAAGGGGCTAACACAAGAAAAGGAGGAGGAAAAAAAAAAGAGGATATATGACCCATTCCCTTCACTTTCTAACTCTCGGGGGACTATAAATTGCAAACTTCAAAGCATTATTTTACATTAAAATCAATAGAAAGATTTTTTTGGGGGGGGGGAGGGGAGGGAAATGTTTTTCAAAGAAGCTGGTTAAGATTTAAAAAGGTCACTTGATAATGTATTATCATGACCAGACTTGGCATAAGATGAAAAAACCCGTCCAATTTAACTTCTTGACTGAAGGTGTGCACATGGGGCAGAGTAGGGGAAGTGCTACCTAAAAGGATGAGTCACAACATCCCTCAGCTTCCCAGCACCACCACCCCCCCCCCCCAAAATAAGGGCTGTGACTAGCTCCAAAATATGCTCCCCAAATAGCTGCAGTCTCTGGGCAAAAAGACACCATTGCCTGTTAAGGAATGGTTGGCAAAGGTCTTACTGTGCAGACGGAGCAATTTGCCAGCAGCCTTGAGACTCAATTAATATTGAATAGCATGTATGTCACTCTGTCACATACTTCTGCGTGTTCTCTGTCTAATGAAGAGATCAGTCTTGTTGACTGCTGGGATAAACAGACTTCCACTTTGGAGGAAAGTGCTGCTTTCCTGTAACAGGAATAAAACAGCGAGACAAATGACATTTATTTGACTAGATGTGATTTTAAATTGTACACGTTCTTTGAAGGCTTTTTAATGGCAGGCTGAAGACTAAAAGCTCTTTTTGCTCTCTATAATGGAACACAAATACGTGCACAAGGACAGAAACTAATGCTCCCAGATTTTTAATGCTCTTCCATGAAGGCGGTATTTCATGGTTTGGCAAGTGTGTGTCTGTGAATGCGTGCAGGGTGGTCGCCAAAAGTGCACTAAATCTGGTATGAGGACTGAAAACCACTTCAACCCAGAACTGTTAAAAAAGATGCCAGTTGGAGAGGATGAACCCACAGCACAGGGGAGGCAGGGGGTAGAACAGGACAGTCTAAGAAAAATAAAGCCTTTATATCCAGCAGGTCAGAGAATTGGATTTGTTCAACTGGAAAGAGTATCAGAAAGGACAGTGTGGTGTCACAGCGGCCTCTATTCATTACTGCATTACTTAGAAGTTCTCCTCTATCAAGACATCCACCTTCATTTCACCTTGGTATTATGCTGCTTCCATAGTTAGTTTTAATACCTTCCTCTTCCCATTCTCTGGAGCTCTGCTGGGCAACAAATGCATCACGGCCCCAGAATGTCAGGGATGTACATTGCCCATTGGGGTATTTTGCCCATCAGCTACTCAGAGCAGCAAGATACGTTCAACCAACACTTGAAGTGCTCCCATAGTGACATTGCTCAGAGAGACCACAACCTGGGTGTGCATGACCATAGATCAGCTAATGTGTGTTTTGCTTCATGCATCTCTTCTAATGATGCTGCTATGAGGAAGAAAGCAAGGATCAGATCAAAGGACTCCCTGCAGATACCACCCTGTGATCCTCAGGTATCACATGCTTCTGTGAGCAGGACAATAAGACGAGGAAGACAACAACAAGTGAGTCAACAGATGGCTTCATCCCTGTCTCCAACTAGAGAATCAAATGAGCATGCTTGGATATGCTTGTACAACCCAGCACAGTGATTTATATCTGGTTTTACTATTACTGCTAATCAATGGGGATATCCCAGCAACACATGACTTCAACTCCACAGCTTTGCTTACCTTCATTCACACTCTGACAGTGAGTGATGAGTAACACTTATTTAAAAGACGGTTGTATTTTTATTCATAACACACGACATGCTGCTTCTGAGGAGAAACCAGAACCCAGTAAGAAAAGCACAGACCCAACCTGGCCTTGAACACTGCCAGGGATGGGGCAGCCACAGCTTCTCTGGGCACCCTGTGCCAGCGCCTCAGCACCCTCACAGGGAAGAGCTTCCTCCTTAGATCCAACCTGAACTTCCCCTGTTTAGGTTTGAACCCATCACCCCTTGTCCTGTCTCTAAAGTCCCTGATGATGGCAGAACAGTCCAGTTCTCTGGACTCCCCTCCCCATCAGCTGGGTTTACCCATCGAGGTAAAAAGCTTTTGAGCCAAAACCAGAAGAGCTTATTCAGATCAGTTGACATTTTACATCCATGCATTAACCAGTACTGAGCAGCAAGTATGTCAATCCCTTAATGCCACAGGCACACTTAGGGCCAGAAATATCCTATTTACTTAATTCAGCTTTATTTTTATGCTGGTTCTCAAAAAGGAACTGCAACTGGATATATAATCTCATATTTCTAAACTTAGCAAGAGAGAAAGTCAAGATTAAGGAGGACTCTGCGAGGAAAAAGAAACCCAGTTTAAGTAAAACAGTAAGTTTCTAAGATGAAAACTTCAATATTACCTGAAAGCAGTTAAGTATTCTGTGTCTCCCATCGGTGGATCTAGGCCACCAGTAAAGGCCATGTTAACGTTGAAACCAACTCCTGCTCCTGTGCCAACCTGAAAAAGGGAGATTGTACTCTGAATTACAAAATGGAAGCTGTCTTAATATTCTTCCAGTTGAATATGGATTTTGATTCAATAGCTTGGTAGCAGTGAGGTTAATTTTCCCCTCTAAAGCAACCTGGTCCCCAAAACAAGAGTGAAAATAAAAGCTCCTCCATGCTCTGGTCTTTATAGGAGTTGTGGACCTGCTCACCCAAAAACCACTTCATCATCAACTGGCTCCTCTTCCTTGTTTGCAGGAGAGTGTGTTACATGCAGTATCTTTTTCAGCTTCATCCAGAAGCATATTCTGTATTTCACTGCAGTTGCAACTGGGGGAAAAAACCCAGTTTTAATCAGAGTGAGCTCCCCCTCTGCTGGGGAAAAATATGATTCACAGAGATTTTCACTGCTTGAGGGCCATCAGGGTGGTAAACATCAGTACATCCCCACCCTTCCATGTCCTGCACAACTCCCTGCCTGCACTGACTAAAAGTACCTGAGAAAGGGGAAAACAACACATAAATGAGGGGCTTCCAAGAATTTGATTGCCAAGAAGCAGAGCCATGCTTTCCCCATCCACATCGAAACCCAAAAGCTTCTAATCAGTCCCTTCACCAAGCAGGGACCTCGCAGCAGCCTGAGCATGGGGCTCTGAGCTCCTACGCACCCTGTTTGTGTTTTGTGGGGTTGCTTTTTACATCTCTGCATATGAAAACAGAATTGAAATTGAAAACAAAAGCAAAAATTAAGGTGTTTACAATATATAGGCAGTTGATTCAGGCTAGATAAAGCTGCAGGGCTTTTAGTGCACATTATCCCTTGTATTTGTGCAAATATGACTGGTACAAAAAACCCACAGGGGATTCACCCATCCACAGTGGCTTATTTAGCCATCTGCTGCTTTAACTGAGTTTGGTTTGTAGTCTTTGTTTCATTTGGTCTGGAACACTATAAATGGTTAAATCTGGAGTGGATGGTATAGTCTTGTGTTTCTTTTACAATATTAGGTATTTTGTAAGACAGATTACGAGATCATTCAAAGGTCAGCCAAAAAGTAGGTCTGAGACCTTTGCATATCCTGAAGCAGAAATTAAGCCTGCTGCAAAGTACTGTTGTTTATTCACTACAACAGCAGCACACAAACAAGGGAATGAAGCAGTATCATAGAATCAACTAGGTTGGAAAAGATCTTTAAGATCATCAGGTTATGTTTGAGTTTCTTTAGGAATCAAAATGGAAACATGGATGTTTGCTGAATTGGAAAACATAGAAGTGACACGTTTTCAGATGTAATCTAGTGTGCCCCAGAGTATCCAAAACTAAGTATTTCCTATAACTTCTCTTTGGTAAATCACTCTGGAAGGACAGTATTTCCTGCTAACCTAGAGGGAAAGGAAGGATGCGATGGATGTAGGAGCTCAAGGAGAAAGGCCTCCCAACTTCACTGGCCCAGCCCTTCTACTGCAGGCTCTGAGGACACCACCAGGAAGTGATGGAACTGGTCCAGCAGCCTGAGCGACCAGTGCTCAAATCCCACCATCCGTGGCTGTTAGGACTTGGGACAAGAAGGCACCAAACACACAAACCCAAGAGATACACTCCCAAAGGCGCACTAAGAAGCATGAGCATGGGAGCAGTGGCCAGAGCCTGGCAGAGCCTCCCCGGGATGTTGGGAGGCACCTGAACCACAGCCCAGAGCTGGTCCTATCAGACATGGATGGATGCTATGCCAAATCGATGCTCTTACCTCATCAGGAGCACCACTGCCTGGAAAGAAGTTCCCATCATCATAGCGATGTAGTGAAATATAAAGAACATTAGGATCATTGTAGAAAGCTTGCTGAGTACCGTTCCCGTGGTGAACATCCTTCAGGGACAGAGATTGCATTATATGAGGGAGGTTAGTACCTTAGTAAAAATGCAGATTAAAGCCATCAAACTTGAGATTCGGAAGGGTTTTCTTTGCTGTTGTGCTTCATTTTCTGTGCTTCTCTCTTATAGCTGAAGCAGCTGATTGGAAATGAGAGTAACCTGCTTTGCACAGCTGGCTTCAGGTTACACTCCTTGTTTAACACTTGGGATAAATGGGGGTAAACACAGTCTTAAATCTGAATCAAAACTAAGGATAGGCACAATTTATTTGGATGGAGAGAACTGGATTCATACCAATCTTGGGGGGTGAAGAGAGACATTTCATGACTTACCCCACATTTGCATCTTTAATGGGTCTGTGGGGTGACCACTGACACAAGGGCCCAGTAAACTTGTCTTGGACCCAACAAAGTTAAACAACTCAAATCTATTACCTTGATCCCCTATTGCATTTCTACTTGGCACAGAAATGTGGTCTGTAACAAGACAGGTCTTCAAAATGCCCCTTTCCTGACATGAAAACCAGCTGGTGGGAAGTGAGGAAAAGGATGTCCATCCAGTAGGTCAAAAAGTCAAAGACATTCGTTTTAACCTGTGGGTCTAGCCCACAGGAGATATAGGGCAATATCATGAGAACTCATGGCTGATACCCAGCAACTCAAATGCCTTCACAACCATATAAATACATCTCATTCCAATGCAGAGATCACTTTTGACTGCCTGGCCTAGAGGCAGGACACTGAGAGCATCCAGACCCATGGGCAAGTCATGCCAGACAGCCTGTTCCTCTCAGTAAATGGTCCTCACAGTTAGCTGGGATGGATCATAACAGTTTGGGTCAAAACCTTCATTAATAAATAACCCTAATCCAGCATGCTTTGCTGTTACCCATCCTAGAGACTGTGTTATGGGCTAGTTTTGGAAAGCAACTACTTACTAATTACAATCTTATTCTCAAAACTATGGACCCTTCATGAAATGTTTCTTTTATGAAAACACTTTAATGAAAAAAAGCCCCAAACTTGACAAAACCCCCAGATTTTGGCTTGCAAACCATGGGCAACACTTTTTTTCCCATCTCTGACAAAGCCAGGGTTGCCCTTGCAAGACAAAAACCCCAGAACAATTTCTACCTGCTCTCCTGGAGGGTAAAAACAGGCATTTACTCACCCAGTCCACTATAAGGATTTTGCTAACATTCAGTCTTTGCTGGAGCAGCTTGGCTGCGATTGCCACGGAGTTAAAATAGCAGAACCCCCTGGAGGTGATGAGAGGAAAAGGAGAGGTGTTAATTCTACATTTCCTTGGTCCCAGTGCATCTGTCATCTCGATATAACACATTTGGAAGAGATTTCTTCTGCTCTTAACTCTTCTTTCCTCTCTGGAAGATAGATGTGCTCAACGCTGGGTCAAGGAGAACTCAACAGAGAACACTCATCTACCACCAAAGAGTGCTGAAGCACCCAAGACATGAAACTTCACCACATGTTAAGCCAGATACACAAAGCCAACATGATTTATGGACAGGACCTTGATTTGAGAACAGTCCGATGGCAAAAGGCCTGCTGTATCAAACATATGCAAAATGGTCAACTTGAGCTTTTGCTACGTGAAGCCCTCCTACTCTGACACTCTCCTAATTCCATGTTGTGACCACAGGACACAGTTATATTTGCTATTGCTACTGTCAGTTGTGTCCCCTTGTTTTCTTCACACTGGACAAGTCATCAACATTGAATTTAAAACAATTCACAAGGTTAAAGCAAATAAAGGCATGAGTTCTTTTTCAAAGCATGACTCTAATGCTGACTCTGGCTCAGAAACATCCACCTGAAACCACTAAGTAGGATCTTGCCCTCTTCCTGAGAATTACTGGGAGCTTTGACTATAAAACTGTCTTGCACATAAGTAAGCAAGACATTCTGTAATGAGAACCTAACAAACTCCCTAATTTCCAGCTGCAGGCAACAGATAAACACTGAAGCACATACACATACTTACATGGGTGTGCTCTCTTCTGCATGGTGACCTGGAGGCCGAACAACAGCAAATCCATTCTACCCATGAAAAATAAGAAAAGGAAGAAGTGAGGCAGAAAGGAAGGTTTAGAGCACCAAGAAGAGAAGCATTAATTCTGCTTTGGAACTGTGTAGTTGCTCTTGATGGTTTTCTCACAAGTGGACGATACTCTCCCTCGTTTTGGAGGGGGGAAAAACGTCCACATGAATTGTGCAGAAACTGGTTGGTGCAACATTTCCTTCTATTGAAGG